AAAAAAAATGTGAGCGAAGTCTTGTGTAAGAGATGCTTTAGAGACAAAGGTCAAAGGTCAAGCCAGGTTAGTGTTAGACACACAAACTGAGTGTCTTTTGTTTGGAGTGAAAGTACAGACTGCATCTTGACTACACACTACAGCAAGCATACTAACAAGTGTCCCTTACTTTATAGCATGTGGTATGCAGTGTATAGCGTATACTAGAGTTCTTTTAATGCACACTACGACTGTAGTGGATGTGCGTACTAAATGCCGAAGCGTGAAGAGGAATGGGAGACATAACACAACGTCGAGTGCACAAAGAGGATCGCGAAGAAGTGCACTTGTGCTGTGATTAAAGCACTCTGTGTCGCGTTTAAGTCCTCTAGGAGCGAGACCGGAGAAGGATTAAGGTGAGAATATGATGCGAATGATGTGAAAGTCCACTCGTCAGCTAGCGAGAGCTGTTTATATCAGAAATGAGTTGGTGAGTGTTGTTATTTATTAATATTAATATATTATATCACTGAAACGTTCTGTACGGTGTTCCAATTGGCTGAACGCGGCAGATACAGGAACTCTTTAAGCTTTATGATACACGATATGATCAAAAGTTTGTGCACCCCATAACCATCACGATAATACGTGCGTGTCAATCATTTTGTTCCAGAATGTATTCCACCTTTCTGTTATAACAAGCTCCACTCATCTGGGAAGGCTTTCCTGCAGATTTTAGGGCGTGGTTTTGGGTAGATTTGTGTTCATTCGGGTACAAGAGCTTTAGAGAGATCATGGGATTGATTTAAAAACTTCCTTATAGAAGTTGTTCTGAAATTATTCTTAGAGGTTAAGGTTCTAGTCTATGAATGAGAAAGCTGACCCTGCGTTCTGATCCCAGCTTCCTAACATGTTGGGATATGTGAAGAATTTCAATCTACTGCACTGTATGTTCACGAATATCGTAATGAATATTGGTTGTGACTCAGGTGGTAGAGCGGGTTGTCCACTTATCGTAGGGTTGGCGGTTCGATTCTTGGCCCACGTGACTCCACATGCCGAAGTGTCCTTGGGCAAAACACTGAACCCCAAGTTGCTCCCGATGGCAAGTTAGCACCTTGCATGGCAGCTCTGCTACCGTTGGTAGTGTGTGTGTGTGTGTGTGTGTGTGTGTGTGTGTGTGTGTGTGTGTGTGTGTGTGTGTGTGTGTGAATGGGTGAATGAGACGCAGTGTAAAGCGTTTTGTAGAATCAATAAGGTTAAAAAAGCGCCATATAAGTGCAGACCATTTAAAGGCTTTTATTAAAAATTGAGAAATGTATGATTGATTAATATGTAGGATAGGATTTTCAATTTAGTTCTAGTGAAAAAAGTGTTACATGAAATATATTGCCATGTAAAAGAACAGCACATTTTACTCTTCCATAATAATCATTTATTATTTAAAATAAGTGATCAAATATAAGAAGTTCTCGCTAGTGGACTCAGACTTTAAGTGTGCGTGCGAGTTTATTGCAAAGTGGTGGGAGATCGGGGGGTTAAATCATGTGTGAGTGTGTGTGTGTGTGTGTGTGTGGAGAAGAGCAGGGCATGTTTGAACACACAGCTGGATCTTTAGAATGAGGTAATTACTGTGCCTTCAGGCTGAAGGGGCAGATAGAGAGATAGAGTCCTGACAGGCGGCTGGGTCCGACCTCATCCAGAGGAGCAGAGCGTGGAGAGTAGTGTGTGTGTGTGTGTGTGTGTAGATCTAAGAATGCACGTCCATCAGCCCTCTTATTGGATCTTTATTTATTGGTGATCTTACCTTTTTAAAGAGAGTCCAGGTGGAAAAAATGAAATAAACAATGTACTTTCTGTTCCAGTTATCAGCCATGATATGTTTTTTTTTTAGCAGCTGATATTGTTTTCATTTCTACGAAGGTAGTGTCGCTAACAGGTAATGGAAGCATATAGCTACCAGTTCAGCATGTCTGTGACAGACGGTTATCTATAAACATGGAAAAATGCAGAGCTGAAAGCGCCAGCACCGGTGCAGCGTTTTGAATAAATTATTTACAACAGTTTGGTGTCACTCAGACTCAGATAGGGGGCGTGGCACAAAGTGTGAAGGCGGAGACTGTTTTTCGGATGATAACGGGGTTCCAGACAGAGCCAGGTGATTTACTGATGCATTTTGCGAGAAGCTAAACTGGTAGCTATAAGCGGCCCTTATTTCTTGCTACATTAGTCTTGTAGCCTCAGACAACGAACAACATTGTGTGCATTTAATTTTCTATACTGTATTTGTTACAGGTCATGCTAGAAAGGCTGCCTAATGCTAAATTAAATTGAATTTGCAGCATTAAACTCATCCAGACTTACATTAACATCACAGTGATGGATTCGTCATGCCAAGCGTCTTGTTAGAATCGCACCAAGCAATGTGCAACATACACCACGTTTGATCACACGTCGTGATACTTACGTCCGACTTGACTTGCGTTTCTTCTGTGCCGGTTTCAGCAGGCACAGCAGGCCCAAACTCGTCCTCGTAATTGGGTACAGGGTTTGGGCCCGCGTTGCCGAACTCATCATATTCGCCAAATTCATAGTGGGATTTGTCAAGCTCGCCCACATCGTACTCCTTAAGGTCGTACTCCTTAAAGTCGTACGCGTCCGCTCCTGCTGTGGCGCTGGGCTCGTTGTGCTCGGGGGCGATTGTGGGGTCCACAGCAGCGTGGGGCAGCTCGGTGTCTGAATTACCCACAATCCCCTCTTCCACAGCCTTATTATTGCCAAGCATTGCAGTAGCAGGGGAGAAAGAGAGGGTGAGGGGAGAAGGGAAGAGGAGGGAAAAGGGGCAGAAGGGGACAGGAGGAAACAGGAAGTAAAATTAAGGGAGTAAAAAGAGGGGAAAGGGTGGGCAGTGAAGAGGAAGAAAAGGGCAAAGACAGGTTATGTGAAGGAATGGGTGGGAAGAGGAGGTAAGGGAACGGGAGGGAAGAGGAGGTGAGGGAACAGGAGGGAAGAGGAGGTGAGGGAACAGGAGGGAAGAGGAGGTGAGGGAACGGGTGGGAAGAGGAGGTGAGGGAACGGGAGGGAAGAGGAGGTGAGGGAACAGGAGGGAAGAGGAGGTGAGGGAACAGGAGGGAAGAGGAGGTGAGGGAACGGGGGGAAGAGGAAGTGAGGGAACAGGAAGAAAGAGGAGGTGAGGGAACAGGAAGAAAGAGGAGGTGAGGGAACAGGAAGAAAGAGGAGGTGAGGGAACGTGAGGGAAGAGGATGAGATGGAACGTGAGGAAAGAGGAGGATAGGGAATGGGAAGGAAGAGGAAATGAGGGAACATGAGGAAAGAGATGAGGGAACGTGAGGGAAGAGGAGGAGAGGGAACGGGAGGGAAGAGGATGTGAGGGAATGTGAGGGAAGAGGATGTGAGGGAATGTGAGGGAAGAGGATGTGTAGAAAAGGAGGAGGCACAAAAAGGGGGAGGGGAGGCGAGCAATATAAAAATGGCGGTTAGTTAAGCAGTTAAGACTGCTGTATTCATGTTCTACTGCAGAGAACAGTCAAATAAGTACTTTGCATGAATGTACATGAATGAATTACAGCAAGGTGAAGTCTGAAAGCGAGAGCTCACACTTTTATTGTCCCAGAAGATCAATCAGTGACTCCTTTAATAAACTCCACATCTTTTGAACGTGTCATTTTATTCCCATGCAAAAAAGTGTAGAGTCATTCAATATAGGCCATGAATAATGTGTAAGTTTACTCAGGGACAAATAAAGTGTTACCTCGGTTATTTACAGAGCATTATATTTCATTAGAGGCAGTTATGCTGCTGTTCAGTGACAGTGACAGACTCTGACATATCCCTGTCTTTTTCACATAAAGCATAACGATACTGAGGAATTAACTAACTGTGAAAAAGACAGAAATAAATGAAGTCTGAAAAGGCATGTCTGAGGCAGAACAGCAAACTGTTATGCATATTGTTCAGGTAATCTACAATAAACAGCCTAAATATTACAAACGTTACAACGAAATGCAAAAAATTGTTTTAAAAAATCACTGTATTGTGCATTTGGCTTATTTCTAATAAAAGTTTCAGGGTTTTATTACTCTAATGAATGATTTAGCTTTGCTTGGTGACACAAAGCTGTTTCAAGTTCTCAGGAAAAGATCTCCGAAGGATGTTCTGCTAAGTCATTGTGTCCATGGCTAACCCAAGGCTAGCAGCTAATCCAGCTAGCGTTGCTGTGTTCGACTTAACTGGAAAATCTGAGCGTACAAATGACAAAGTGGGGGGAAAAAACATGAATGCATTCATGGAAATATGTTAGCAATTTCATTAGCAAGACGCTAGCCAGCTAACACGACAGAATTCAGGACGTGTTTGCGTTCTCAGGACTGCGAAATCTACAGGCAGTGTTACAGAAATCTATACCTAATATCTCTATGATGATTGATCTATAGTAAATATGATTAGAAACTCAAGTACATTAGTGAAGTGATGTTTCATTTACAGTTGGCAGTGTGAGCGGACATGTTGACCTGCTGAGCTTGAGCTTGAGGAGAATTTTCAGAGTAGCTGAGTGGGCGTTTTTTTTAACAGGAGATTGTAAATTCCTAGTTATGAGTTTTAGTTGAACACAGCATGTAGCTGGTACTGCTAGCCCGGCTAGAGCAGTTACGTAGAACGCAGTTCTGCTTTATTGAGGCAGTATTTGAACTATTACTATTGAACAGGACTATTTGATCGTACTGAGGTTTTAAAATTAGTCACATGTGGATAAGACTGGACAACTGGGTAACCAAGATTGCTGACTTTGTCCTAAAAATACATTTTCGTTGTTACAGAAACCATTTGATGAGAAAAACTAGCATCTTAATCGAGAATGCTGAATATTTGCCAAAAAGAAATATTTACATTTATTGCATATGGCTTTACGCCCTTATTCAGACCGACATACATTCATCTCATTTATACAACTGAGTAGAGAGGGTTAAGGGCCTTGCTCAAGAGCCCAACAGTGGCAGCTTGGCAGTGCCGGGGGCTTGAACTCCTGACGTTCTGATCAGTAACCCAGAGCCTTTAACCACTGAGACACCACTGCCCCATGCTCAATACTCGTAGTTTATTAGTTAACTATTTCTAATTTAGCTAACTTTGCATTTCTGAGCAGTTCTATTACGTATTATGAGATTTTGCAGCTGTAATTGACATGAACAACAGAAAGCAAGACACAAAGCAGAGACAATCCACTGAGATGACGAACATGTTGAAATACATGGACATACAAAGTGGATTGCTTTTGGTCAACCAGGACAGAAAAAAACACAGAACAATCATTCTGAATTGTCTCTGGTTTTCACCATTTCATACCAGTTTATTTTCCAGTTGCTAGGCTTTAGACTCATACACTCCCAGGACTAATCCACTTTCTAAAGCCTGGGTTATTCTTTAAAAAAAAAAACATTGAAAAAGTGACACATTTACCTCGTTGGGTCCGGGAGTGGCATCAGGAGACTGAGTCTGAGAAGCATCTACAGTCCCGTAGTCAAGTTCAGTTTCAGTATAGAACTCGCCATCTAAGTTGTTTAGCTGAAGCGGGCGTCAGAGTGAAAGAGAAGGAGAAGGAAGAACGAGAAAGAAAGGATTAACAGACGTGCACACTACAGGGTGATCGACAGGCCTCTAGAACTATCTGACTTTCTGCTCAGATTAGAGGACGGGCATCGGAGATCTCCCTCAGTAGAAAAGAGAAGGAGAAACGGAGAAGAGGAGAGATCTCCATGCCATCGTAGTTGGACTACGTCTTTTTTTTTTGTCTTTTACCCTTGTACCAGGCCTCCTTGCTGGTGCTGTTGCCTGGAAACCATCTCTCGTCTTCTTAGAAGCTAAAGTATTAGGCGATTTCTTTATCGAGGCCGGGTACTTATACGTAGGCTTGGGTTTGGACTTAGCGGACTTTGTCGTCCTCTTGGACTTGGAGACACTACGCTTCACTCGCTGGAGGGAGGGTGATGGTGACACAGGGACAAAAGAAACAACACATCAAAACATCAGGATCAAGCAAGCAAGATATGACACGAGAACAAAAGTCAGAAACTAGGAGAGAGAGAGAGAGAGAGAGAGAGAGAGAGAGAGAGAGAAAGAGAGACGGTTGTTCCCTCAGGTGGATAGTAGTCTGAAAACTGTCAAGACGTCAACAAATAACACTCGAGATGAGGACAAGGGAAGTCACATGACAACCAGACACCACAATGACAACCGCAGGCATGCACCACTTAGATTTCTTGCATATTTGTCTGGGTTTTTTTTTTTCTTTACCTGAGACTCGGAAAATTCATTTGGCGTGTCGGTGGGAATCGCTGCGTCATAGTAATCTCCATAATCTACTCCAGTTGCGTACTGGACAGAAGGAGGAAATGAGGTCAGAGGACGGTTAGTAAAGTGTATCAAATATAACCCAAAACTTCTTCTTCTGATGTAACAAGACCAGCTGGATGTTACATCGTGTTAGCATAGACATCACACTGTTCTGAAATGACTAATTAATTAATTCATGATTAAACAATTAATTAATTCATTTTGAAAGCATCATCTGAGTGCATCTGTGGTCCAGCTGTGTCAAAGCATCACACTGAACATTTCACTCCCACGCGATGAGATAATGCTTTCTTCAAGAACTTCTGTTTCAAAGTAGAGCTGGCCGATATGACCACTGAATATCAATATTGTGATCAATTATGCACAATATGTTTTTCTGAGATATCATGGACATCGGTTTATAAATAAAAAAAAACAACAACAATGTATTACAAAATGACTGAAAGCAGCTGATTTGATTTTAAACTTTTTTATATATACTTTATCTTTAAAATTCTAAAATGTACTTTTCAGTGTTCAATATTTGTTTTTTTTGTTTGTTTGTTTGTTATAAATATAAATGTTTTATATATTTACTTAAATATTTACTTACATATAAAAATTTTAATACAAATGCAATGTGGGTATTGTCAAACATGATACATATATATATATATATATATATATATATATATATATATATATATATATATATATTTTTTTTATTATTATTATCGCGACACTAGAGTATTTACAGCCAATTTGTTCTCATATAAGTATTATGATACATACTGTGTATCGGAGAAATGTCTGTGAGAATCGAGATTTATTATTTTTGTCATATCGCCCACTTCTACTTCCAAAAAAAAACAAACAACAACAACTACAAATTATAAAAGTTTGGACTTTTGCAGCATTTGTCACCTGACTCTGAGAGAGAGAGAGAGAGAGAGAGATCGGGCTGGTTGGACTGAAGGTAATTAAGCTGATAATTAAAGTAGAAAAGAGCACAGATGTTTGTTTAAAGCTTTCTAAAAAGGCCCTGGATATTTATGGACGAGAAACATCACTTCCAAAAGGAGTGAGATCACAGGGACCTGTATATGGAATTTATAGCTTTAATGCGTTATGGAAAATGAGCTTTGTACAGTGTGAGAGGGTAGACTGTAAAAAGAGAGTCTATTATAGTTTGGATTGAATCAGTAGGTCATTCAAAGGGTGGTTTATACAAATGCATACAGGAATTACATAAAATATGCATTTATTCATTCATTATGATATACAATAATCAATGAATGTAGGGTTGAGAATATGTACTATGCCTGAAAAGGACAGACTCCATTAGTTTTCTCTATCCAAAAAACTTAAGCTGTAAGATGTGAGTTGTATTTATTAGTTCTGACCCATTGTCACTCTTCCATCCCAGCACAGGAAGTCGTAGCAACGGCAGTGATGGTACAGATGAACACAGTTTAGAGCCTGACGTCCTTAATCCATTTCTGTGCACTGGCTGGATTCATCTTGGTCATCTTTTGGCAAGCTCAAAATCCAAAATAGCCTAGCCAGGCTTAGTCAATATTTTCCATACCTAAACCAGCCCAGCATGGGCTAGCAAAGACTAGTCTGGTCCAGCCAATTCCAATAAGGATTAGGCAATGCTAGCCTGGCACAAATAAGTCCATAACCAGCAAGACATACATATTATTCAGCTCTACAAAGTCCAAAAGCAAATCCCAAACAAGATCCAACAGCAACATGGCCTTGTCATTATCCAGAACAAGACTAACCAAAAGCAGAAAGTCCTACACATTATCTAGGTCTACCAGATCCCAGCCAAACCCAGCCAAGATCAACAAGTCCTGGTCAAGACTGCACAGTCCACACAAAATTAGCAAAGACTGTCCAAGTCTACCAGAACTGGCCAAGCCCAGCAGGTCCTAAGACCTCACTAAACCAACAAGACCTAGGCAAACCAAGCAAGTACAACCCAAGCCTATCCAGAACTCAATCAAGTCCAGCAAGGCTTAGTCAAGACTAGGCAGTCCTAACCAAGACAAGCAAGGCTTAGTCAAGACTAGTCAGTCCTAACCAAGACAAGCGAGGCTTAGTCAAGACTAGGCAGTTCCGATTAAGGTTCAAATTATCCAAGACTAGCCAGGCACAACCAAACCCCCAATTTGCAAGACCTAGTCATTGGCCAGTCCTACCAAATCCTGGCAAGGCCCAAGATAAGAATTGGTCTATCCAAGGATATCCAGACCCGGTTATGCCCAGTAGAGTCTTATCACATCTAAAAGACCCATCCAAGCACAACAAAGCCCTGTCAAGTCTAGGACAACTCAACCAAGTACGGAAAGACCTAGTCAATTCTAGCTGAGACCCAAGACCAGCCAGGCTTTGTAAAGGCTATACAGTCTCAACCAAACACAGTAGGGCTTGGTCAGGTCTAACCAGACCCAGATAAACCAAGCAAGGCCCAGATAAACCAATCAATACCAGCTAGTTCCAATCAAGTCATCACAGTATAATAACATGTCTCACACTAGCAATCCACTAAGGATGGATGGATGATGCTTATTTCTGTTTCAGCATCAGAATCTGAAATCAAATCAACATCTGCATCTGTTGACAGCTTAACAATTGCATGTGGTTCTGGTCCAGTCACGATAAAACGTTACTGGAACATCACAGAGGAACTGTATATTCCGGATCCATACAAGTACCACAGGAGCAAATACTGCTCATACTGTTCAGATATTACAATGCAAAACTGATTTAAGATCTCAAGGCTCAACAGAGATCAGCCACATGCTTCACGTCACATTACCATTGTATGTTAATACTGTATGTAGTCCTTGAATAAACATTTAACTTAAATTCTTATAACCCTACAGATGGCGGTATTCAATATAATAAACCTTGAATACCGAGTTTAAATTCATGACTAAGCAAACTGTCTGTTTCACACTCGGCACAATCAAACACCGTAATTGCAGTTGCTGTTGGCCGCGTTTATACGACACGTGCCGAAACATCTTCCCCAGATATCAATATACAGTAGCGGAGAATCTGCAGAAAGCATTAGCAGAATAAATCCATGAGAAACACTGCTCTCGCTGCCAGAATATCTTCAGCAGTTCATCAACAGAGGAGCTCCCTCTTTGCGTTCCAGTACATTACGAAGTACATCATCCCGAAGGGAAAAAAAAACACATGAGCCATACAAGAACATGACTCTACATGACCAGACAGGAGATGCGTTCATTCTTAAGCAGAAGGCTCACGCATCTAAGGAGAAATTTGTAAACCGGCAGTTTTTAAATGAAATTGTGGTACTTTGGTAAAAACCCAATATTAATAATTGTAGAAATCAATACTATACGTTTGATACCTTGTGTAAAGTTTGCATTTCTTTATAAAACACCATATAATACATACAATGCCATATAAAACTATTAGAACTTTATCTGCTCTAACATCTGACAGTATGACAACATGCGGCATCTGGAAATGGCTTTTTAATGATACTTATATCTATGCTAATACCACAGAGAGAGTTACTGATTGGCCAACAGGTATGCATTGAAAACTTTAAGTACGGGTCTAAATGTATGCGCTGTTCCTGGGTAACCATGACAACTATCAAAGTAGCTGTGGGATAAGCGAAATAATACACCCAAAGCATTCTAATACCAAGACGATTGAGTTTAACCAAGGATATGTCTCAACCAGCTCAGGTTCAGT